TGCTTAATGAGTTGCATTAAAAGCAGTATATTTCTTAGTTCTCGTTTATGTCTGACAGTAATGCACTTTAACAAATTTGAAGTAGACATTTGTGTCACGCGAGTTCAGCACATGATAAATGGATTTATATCTGGAATAGTTTAATGTCAAGGCAAGGGAATGCAAATGTACATGAAGAAACTCTTGTTGAAATATGCGACCGCATTTTGACAGTCTTCTATTTTACACAGCACAGACAAACTGTATAACTGCCCTTTATAATTTCGATCGCAAGATATTGCAGGTAATTTCCTACCTTTATGTGCAAACTTAGTTTCGTTTGGTAGATAACGTAATGAATGTCAGCGTCGATATTTGGCGTCACACTGGGCAAAATCCACCACGCTATATTTAATTAAAATACAGAAACTTAGTGCAAACGAAGTAACCCAATTAATTGTCTTTCAGTAATAAGGGCCACCTTGGTAGCCCAGAGATTATCATCGAGCTCAATATTCAGAGGGTGGCCAGTTTGATGACTGCTGCACCCAACTTAAAAAAAAGAAGCAAACAAAGTAATGTATGTAAGATTTGAGGCTTTCACGGCGGTGACTATGAAGAAAGCAGTCTTCTGGGATTTGGCACCGTGTATATGTGGTGTTAACCGACGTTTCGCTGGGTGGGCCAGTCTGCTTTTACCGTTCTCACGGTCTTGTCGCTTGCAGATTTCTTATACTTTTTCTTCTACCCTGAAGATGGAGGCGATATGTTCCTCCGAAACGTCGGTTAACACCACATATACACGGTGCCAAATCCCAGAAGACTGCTTTCTTCAAAGTAATGTATCTTACAGTGACAACCAGTCAGCTGAAGACTTGGCAGAGTCAGTCATCAGTAACGTCTAGTACAATAAACACAATCCAGAAGACTGATTATCTCCAACAAAATTCTGATGCAATGAAACATTTATTTTCCCAGCCCACATTGCACAGGTTCCTTGAAAGCTATATACAAATTTTTGTTAGACACTCTCAAGGAATATTTTGTTTCAATTTATAGTTGGGCATATTAATAAAACCAAAATATTTTACGCTAACACCAGCTTGCTACATTCGTACTTTCCTGAAGAGCTGATTTATATGAATGCCCGCTTTTCAAATGTCTGCAGCTAAATTAAGTAACATGACCCCACCCTGCATTGGTGATCCTCCCACCTCAATAGTTCGCCTAGTTGGTGTTGTTATTCCCAGGCAAGAAGAGCGTAACAGGGCACAGAATCTTTGCTGTTAATCTGCTTCCATGCAATCTAAATTAAAAAGAAACTGCATATAGAAGACAGATACAACTGGAGACAATAATGTTTGGTTTCCTAAAGTAGCCTGAAGTTTCAATAGGAAGCTAGAGGAAAGTCGTTGGATTGCCTGACAGAAGCTCCTAACAATTAAACGTATCCAAAGCAGATTCATGTAACGTAATTCATGAAGGCAGTAATTTTGTTAATATGACTAACTGCCTATATGGCAAGGTAATGTATGCCATGAAGACATGAAGACATAAGTGGGAGTAAAAGTATAGCTCCTTGGCACAAGTTGGTGGCGAGTGGTCAGCTTCACGCTACTGCCGCTCTAATTCCGGGGAAGATCCACCGGTATACATTGTATATGATGCTGGGTGGACTCCAGAGACGGTCTGGACGCTACGGAGGATAGAAGAAAATTGCCCTATCGGGAATCAAACCCCGACGGTCCAACCCGTAGCCCTTCACTAATCTGACTGAGCTATCCCGCTCTTACGCTCTGTATGGACGTTTGTATTGGTCAACAGACCGATACGATTGAATATTTTTTAAGTTAAAGGGTGCGTATCCAGGACGCCCCGACGCGTTGTCGCGCCGTTACGAGGCTGCTGTAAATTTGAAGTCGCACGGACCCAATTCAATCTCCCGCGCACAGCCACTAAAGCACACAATTTCCTGATCCCAACCCGTAACCATGACAACGCTATATTTAGAAATGAACCCCCGCCCACACACACATACAGACAGATGAGAGGTCAGAACACAGGGCATTAATGTAGCAAAAAATACCTATCGTAAAGGGTCCGAGCTGAGTTAACGAGATGTGGCATGGAAAACGCCACGCACCGAAGTAAATTCGCCCGCGACAAATTTTATTCTTGGCACCACGAAGTAGGCTCGTGTAGCAATAAGCAAGAATGCAAGAGCAGACGGGTCTTCCCTAACATAGAAGCGCAACCGCTGCGAGTCTCTTCTCCCTTTCTCGTCCTTTACTCTTTCTTTCTCTCGTTTTTCTTTTCATATGTCGCCTTTCATTAAGTTATTTTATCATTTCTTATCTTGTTCCTGCCTTCTCGCCACCTGATTTATTTAATTCCTTATTTCATTGCTTCTTTCTCTTATTCTTTTTCTTTAATTAGTGTTTCCTTCTTATTCCTTTCATACAGCTCTCACACCTTTTCCTTTTTTATGTTTCCGTCCTTCTCCTTATTCTTTTTTCTTTATTTGTTTGCGCCTTGATTCTCTTCTACTTATCCTCGTTTCTTCTTCCTTCTCTTTTAGTCTTTTCCATCACGTTAAATTTCGTGATCCGTTTTGTCTTCGGCTTCCTTCCATTTTGCATTCTGAAGTCCTTCCTTCTACGTATATGGAAGCACAAGGAGTCGAGGTAGCGGCATAGCAATTGGCTACGGGCTGAACGACGGAGAGGTCGGAGTTCAAGTTCCAGTAGGATCAAGAATTTTATCTTCTCCAAATCGTCTAGACCGGTTCAGAGGTTCACGTAACCTCCTATCAAATTGGTACAGGGGGTAAAGCGGCCGGGTCGTGGAGCTGACAAGTCACCTCCAGCCAGTGCCGAGGTCAAGAGAATGTGGATCTATACAGCCGCTCCCCCATACGCCTTCATGGCTTAATGCTTAATTCGTTGAGCACAGGGACAACTTTATCATACACACGCAAGCACATGGACGCAGCCGAGGCTGAATTAAGATCATTGTTTTTTTTTACTCATTATATTTTTGATAGTTATGCATGAACGACGTTGAAATAATCATTATGTGTAATGATTTGAGAGTAGTGAAAAAAGAAGCATGCACATTTGGTAGCGAAATTCGTTAAGAGCGATGGTTTGGAAAATATAGACGGAGACAAATGACATAAGTATAATTCTTGAAGATATATTTTTGAAATTAGGGGATGAAACAAATTTTTGTTTGTGTTCGTGATACATTCAGAAAATAAAAATACTGTTTAAGAAATGAGCTGTTTCGGATGACTTTCTACTCTAATTTTATTAAGGTAAATCTATCCAGGCCGGTCACGGTAGCCGAGCTGTCTAAAGCATGCACTATCTTCGTTCTCTGGAAGCCGGGATCGTGGGTTCGAATCCCATTTATGGCATGGATGTTCAGTGTTTGTGTGTGCTTGCGTTTTCCTATGTTTGTCTACAGGTAGAGGTCTTGCGACGAGCTGATCACCCGCACAAGGAATCCTACCGAATGTCTAAGATCTACGAGTAGTAATATTAAGCGTAATTGAAACGGAGAGCTTCATGGAGGTAGGCCAACGACGAAATTGGGGCTGTAGTGCCAAAGGAAAAAAAAAACTACCCAGTTTCCTTATGTCATTTCGTGGTAAGGGCGATTACACCAATTTCTTAGCGAATGTCTTACCACGAAATAATATATCATGAGACTGAATAGCTTTACCATCTATTAACGTAATGTTTCCACCCACATCCACGCATCCCTTTTTAACACTTTCTCCTACGTAATTATAAACCCAGAAGTGGAAAGCCGGCCCAAACTTCCTCCGTCATTCTTTCGAGATTTCTATCGCTTTCTTAGCAAACTGCTTCATTTTTAGCTAATTTTAATTTAGTTTCACTGATGTTTAAAATTTAATATCCGAAATTGTTGCGTAGAAAACCTGCCTCTTAAGGAATCTGACGTTTCTCAAATAATGTTGGAATCCCTTTTCCTGGAATTACTCGAAATTGTGGAGAAAAATGGCTGCTGAGAAACTGTAGTGTTCGTTAGAAACTTGCCATCTCTGGTACACCAATTCTGAGTATTAAAAAGGAAAGAAATATTTTGCATTATGTTTTATCCTCAAGCAACTCGGTTGCATTAAGCCGACTTTCTTTATTTTATAAGAAGAGGTAGGCTTATGATATCAATTTCCATATTTTTTCTCTGTAATAACTAAGACAAATCATTGCTTTTCATGGACGCGTTTCTGTATAATGCGAAGGAATACGACGAAACTAGGAATGATCTATAGTTATACTAATTACCTTACTTACAGAAGAAGTAAATGTATGAGACCGCCATGTTATGCGTAATTATGTTTGCCCCTTCAACGTTTGAAGAAAATGACAGATTTTCACAAAATGTCGTATGACCCTGATGTCGTTGGAGGTTATAACAACCCCCGTAATTTTTAACAATTAGGGTTAAGCAGACCCTCTCTTGAGTCTTACTAGCAGCAGGATCACCCCTCGACTACCACTCTTTGGCTAGCAATCTGTTAATTTTTTCTTTTTACTTCCTTGTGGTGGGGTGAAACTGAGACCACTTGGCACGTTGGCCAATAACTGGTCCATTCTACCAGCCCCGGATGATGAGTGTGAAACAGTGGTGGAATGAGAATTGGCAAGGGAAACCGAATTTCTCGGAGAGAAAACTTACCCCAGCGACTCTTTGTCCACCAAAAATCCCACATGTCTTGACCTAGGCTTGAGCCCGGGTCTACACAGTGGGAAGCTGGCGACTAACCGACTGAGTTATGGCACGGCCCATTAGCAACCAATTAGTAGGACTTCTCGAAATATAAGGAGGAGTTTTGGGAAGACGCCTGAAAGGATAGAGCAATACAGGTGCCCCTGGGCCTAATACTTCGAAGTATGATGATGATAGTAACGTCGAAATGCAATATGCAGATCCTGGTTCTAGTACCTTCACGTGAACGCTGTGTATCAAGTGCTCACGCTTTGTCTTTTCAGTTTCAGAATGATCGGTGGGGTGGCAGGTCGGCACATGAGCACTCGGCGTCGGGGCTCGTCGCCCCTGGTACGTCTGGGTGTACCAGGGGAACAACTGGAGCCCTGGTCGGCGATGCCGCCCTTCCAGCCCCCATTAAGTCCTCGATATCGCCGCCGCCGTGCCGTCACCACCTCCGACTTCAAGTCATGTGCCCTTGTGCAGACCCGCGTCAAGCTGGGAGACATTATGTGAGTTGATAAGTTTCTACATTGGAAAGATATATATGTTTACTTCGCAGAACTCAGACCGGCTGTGGAGCCCTCCTAGCCAACAGGTAAAAGTAAACTTGTCACTAAATCAAGCACTACACCATGAAGACGTATGGGGGAGTGGATGCATAGATCCACGTTTTTCGTGATCTCAGCGCTGGTTGGAGGTGGGTGGTCAGCTTCACCCCTGGGGAAAGAGCCCCCGGTACTCACTGGATAATAGGCTGGGTGGGCCCCAGAGCCAGTCTGGATGACTTGGAGGAGAGAAATTTCTTGACTTTACCAGGACTAGAACTCCGACCCTTAGGTCATCCAGCTATACCGACTGCTCTATCCCGGTTTCCCCTAGCCAATGGATAGCGGGGGGTAAAGCGGCAGGGGCATGAAACTAACCACTCACCTCCATCTAGTGTCGAGGTCAAGAATGGTGGAGCTATACGTCCACTCCCCCATACGTCTTCATGGGTCACTGCTTAGTTAATTATGCAAAGGCACAATTTTTCCTGTTTTACCTGCATTGCATTGTGACTGAGCTAAGTCGCCGAAAGATTATTGGCTTGAAATCTCTTTACGTTTCGTTGTGAGTGAACTAAAAAGGATATCAGGTGGAGTTAACGATTCTTTAATTGATTGATATCATTGAGTTAACATGCCGTAACATCGTGCTGTTACTAAGCTCAGCCGGCCGACATATGTGGCGTTAGAGTATTTTTAGTCGAATTAAATCGTGTAGAGTTAACATATCTTTACATCGATTCATGACTGATGTTAGTCAGTGAATTTGTTATAGCGTACGTCACGTGAGTTATATTTTCTTTACATTGCATTATGATTAATCTGATTTGACGGACATCACTTGAGTTAGCATTGAAGATGGTGCGTGTGTGTTCGATTTAGCCTCTAGATCGAAGCATACAGCAGACGGGCAGATATGTAATTTGTGTGAAAAGTTTCTTAGTATCCATACGGGAGCTTGCCTGCAGAAGAAGCACGGGATTACACTATGAGAAAGTTGAGTGTACATGCGTATCCATTAGTTAATCCGACTGTAAACTGTGTTATAAGAAATAATAGGTTAACCGACATCACCTAAGTTGACTTAGCTGGATATTATCAGAACTACATCTCTAGGCTTATGAGATTTAATTTGAAAATCTAAGTTCGCGAATGTCGTGTGAATAATGAAATATAGAACACAAACAGGTTATTGCAACAAGACTAAATGATTAGGCATCTTGCGAACTGAGTTGACTGTACAGTCTGACATTACGTAAAAGCAAAGTTCACGGGCGTGCTTTGAGTAGAATTAACTCTATGTGTGTACAACAAGTAAGTGCTATAGCGAGGAAAGTGCGAAGTTAGCGAACTTACATGAAGTCTTCATTCAATAATATTTCAAATGTGCACTCGAGAGGTAAAATATGCAAATCATTAATAATATAGACACATATCCCTCTGTAAGCAGCTTTTTTAGACCTGAGTCCACAGGAAGAAGCAAGTGTGTGGTGTGATGGTTTTCTGAACAGTACGGATATGTAGGAATCCCGGTTTTCATAGCGGTGGTCAAGAAGAGTTCTGTCTCCTGGGATATAACGCCTTGTAGTCTATTGAAAATCGACAGGGATTTCAAAGGGACACGTCGTCTTCATCTTCAGGATCAAAAAATAAGCCAAGCAAGAAACAAATATGAGGCAGGCAGCAAGCAGGGCAAAGGAAGAAGTCGTTTCCTTAAAGCCTGAAATCTTTTCCTTCTGTCTCCTCTGTGGTTGTATCTTAGGACTCTTGGGACCGCTGAGAAGAGCGGGGAATTTTATACCTTCGAAAATATATAACAACATACAAACAAAGAAGTAAAGTAAAAAAAATAAAAGTAAAGCTATCCCCGTACCAGGCCGTGAAGGCCCATAGAGTTGTGAGACGTTGAGGGTCCCACATTGTCTGGACAATCGGCTCAAAGATGGCGGTAAGGTTGTCAACCTTACGCGCCGGCCTCGCATTACTCCCCAGGAAAATTATTTAATTAATTCCTGGTACTCATTTCTGTTAGAGGCTGAGTAAACTTCAGGGCCTAGTATGGCTGGAAGGATTGGGTCAACTGAAAAAATCCAATGACCTCATCGGGACTTGAACCCGCGACCATCCGGCTTGTAGCATAGCTCCTCAACCACTACGCCAAAAGGGTAAATATACAAAAGAATGGAGGCGTATCACGAAGAACTTGCTGCCTAATTCTCTTTGGTTTCATTGTTATTCTTAGAACCTGAAGATGTAGGCACTTGTTCCTCCGAAATGTCAGTTAATTTTCAACGGACTACACGGTGTTATATACTATGTACGGCTCTTCGGTTCGAGTATGAATTCCTGTATGGTTCCGAAATTCTGTTGGAGTATATTATTATTATCAATTGAAGTGTATGTCGTAGTTTGTGACTTGAAATATACAACTGCATGCTTCTAATAGCAGTGAGTAAAATTGGACCCCGAAGGAGGCATAGCCTTCCCCCGAATTGTGCTTAACGATCTGCTGGACTACACGGCGTCACATCTTAGAAGATAGTAATTTTCTTTGAATTTTATGTATATGTAATATATTTTATTTTATAAATTACGTTTTATATCACATAGATGATAACATTTAAATAAAATGTCATATTAATTAATTTCTTTCGTTTATTATCTTCATATTCTTTTTTATCTTCTCCCTTACATTTTTGTCCTCCCTTCTCATTCTTTTTATTTGTTCTAATCCTTTCTTCCCTTCTGCTGTATCATGCACTTTTTATTTATTCTGCCCCTCCGTCCCCCCCTTCTTTATTCCCCCCCGAGTCGCAAGGCCTCTACCTGTACACAAACACTGAAAAACGGACACACACAAATTAAACATCCATACCCTGAGTGGATTCGAACCCACGATCCAGGTTTCCAAGCGAGCGAAGACAGTGCATGCCTTAGACCGCTCGGCTACGGTGACAGGGACAACTTTACCTTCATTAAATCCAGCAATAAAATTTACTCGATTAGTACATTTAAATGTATCCTTTGCGAAAATGCCCTGATTCCTCTTTAAGTTAAAAGTACAATGAATCTGATTAGCCCATGAGTCGGTATTTCTCAGTCATTATAGTTAATGAGCTGCGTTTATAGGCCGCGCCGTAGCTCAAGCGGTTAGTGTCTGGCTTTCCGCTGCGGCGGCCCGGGGTCTATCCCGGGTCTGGTCAAGTGGGATTTGTGGTGGGGCGTGTTTTCTCCGAGTACTTCGGTTTCCCCTGCCAATCATCATTCCACCAAATTCTCCATCATCATAATCTCCTGGAGCAGGCTACAATAGGCAAATCAGTGGCCGCCGTGCCGAATGGACCCTGCCGGACTCAACCCCCCACTAAGCGAATAAAAAAAAAGCCGTGTTTAAAAAATATGACGTTCGATTCTCGGCAGGAAAACTATTCTTATGTTTTCCATAGCGTCCAGACTTGCTCTGGGGCTTACGTACCTTCCTGTTGAATTGGTATCGGGAGCTCTTTCTCCACGAAACAGAAAAGGTTGCGGCGCGAGACTGATTACTTGCCTATATCCTGAATCAAAGACAAGAAGGTCCGCCATACGTCTTCATGGCGTATAATTTTGGACATTGTCCTGCTTGTCACCCGTTTTCAAGCTGGTTTCTTGCTTAGCTAATTTTTCGACTCTGAAGATGGAGGCTACACGTTCTGCCGAACGTCGGTTAAATTTCTGTGGACCTTATGAATATATGTTCTAAAAGACAAAACTCTTCATATCTATCGCTGCGAGAACCTTAAATCCTACATAGGACAAAGACAATTTTACTTTTGCCTTACTCCGTTGTCTGTAGTCCACAAGCGAACTATATCTACCGAGCGACCGCCGCTTGAAGGCGAAGTTAGTGCTAACTTTTGCAGGTAGAGGGTGTCGGGTGGTCAGGCCAACGGATTCCCACGGCCATTAATCTTGGTTTTCTAGACCGGAGCCATTATTTCCTCGAAATAGCTCCTCAATTATCCTGACGAGGCTGAGTGGACCCCGTTCCAGACCTACTACTTCTCAGAAAATCTGGTAGCCCCGGGAACCGAACCCGGACCTCTGGATATGTAGCCAGCAACTCTGAGCACTAGACAAGAGAGGAGGTCATTTACAAATTATTGATATGTTTGTATTCAGTATATCTGTCCTTCAAGCGAGAATATAAATTCTGCTTTATGCAATTTTCTTAAACTCCCCTTTTTTCATCCAAAATAGTTGCAGAATAATACTCAGAATTATTCAGTTATTGACTTTTTGAACATTATTCGTCGTCTTATTTTTATATTTAAAAAAACGTTTAACAGACACTTTTAAATATAATACAGCTCGATGGATAATGTCCAAAATGTCAACAATTGTTTTAATATATCATCGCCACGAACTTTTAAATAAAAATATTCGATTATTTATTCCGCGTGTACGTCTGTGTGTGAACTGTCTGACGCAATGGGGTGAACAACAAATTGTACAGCAAGGAACCAGAGACGCACAGTAGCGTCACACGTAGAGAGACAAGTGAGGGATGCTTGCTGCTTGTCACTGTTTGGAATGTTAGAGTATTACCCGGACAGCTGCCTAGCTCAAACCATTGTCATTCCGCAGGCCTTTTCTGGGAACTGCTATGGATATTGTACGCAATTCCTGGTGTTAGTACTGGAGTGTTCTATCTCCAGTTTTGAGGGAAAATTATATAATTCACATTTATAATTTTCCGTATTCTGTTGCACTAATCACCACCCACACTTTCACATGTTTAGTTCACTTGTAAGTGTGATAATTCGGTACATATTTTGTTCTAAGTCATTTTTAAACTTCAGTCGAGTCCACAATTTCAAACCCAGTTTCCCGAAGATTCATGTTGATGGATATAGTACACTCTGACACTCAGGTAATGATTTGTTGACTTAATTTGTTAAGGGAATTGAAGTGTACTTTGTCAG